TGTGTGTGTGTGTGTGCACATATACAGGGCTATATGTATTTGAAATATTTTTATTTGAAAAATAGTATTTATAAGACAATTGTATTTTGTATTATATATTTCAACGCAGCACATGCAAATATTTTGTATTTTGTGTTTCATAGCAGCATATAAAAGTATATTTTGTATTTCAGTATTAACGAAAGATTGAAAGTATTTTGTATTTCGTATTTTGTAAATACTAAGATTGACAATTAATATTATTATTTGAATTACAAAGTACAAAGGACTTATTTTTTTTTATTTTAAATACAAAATACATAATACTTTCATGTGCTCCATTAAAATACAGAATACAAAGTATACAAAAACTGTGTTTTACATAAAAATATTTCAAATATATGCTAGTCCTATCAAATCTTTTATATATATATACATATATATGAGATTTGATATTAATTACCACTAAGCAAATATGTAGATGGAACACTTCGTATGTAGATTGATTTTTTTAATTTTATTTGATTAATGCACCTTCCAAATGCATTACATGCAATGTGTTCAAATAAACATTCCTTCCACATGTGCATATATTCATGACGTTAAGTGTAGTATTAGATTCGCCTCTATGAATATTATAGTTACTCGATAACTAAATTTTATAGTTAGTATATAGGTCATGTATTTTATTTATAGAAGCTTAAATATATAAATTTTTTTATAAAATATTACAAATTGTGTACAACCCGATTTTATCACCAATACATCATAATTTATTGTTTTATTTTAATCGAATAATAAGTTATTTAATAAAAGCACATTTAAAAAATTTATCAAATATTACTTTTTTAAGTTTAAGATCTATTTAAAAATTCTATATTATAAATTATATTTCGTTTTTTGTCCTGATTTCATTATAATTTTTAAGTCTTGTTGCTAATTTGCTCACTGTCTCTGAAACAAACTTAAGATATACTTGGACGTATCTTTACGTATCCGTTACACAAATATTTGTTGCAGACATTCAGACACCTGTGCAAGTAATTCAGTCCCCGGCAAATGTTCCACCAAGCTACTATACTAGCCAACCTACTCAAAATATTCCGCCAAGCTATACCAGCCAACCTACTCAAAATATTCCAACAAACTATACTAGCCAACCTACTCAAAACTATGTTCCACCATATCCAACGGATTTGACAGGTATCAAAATTTCTATATATACATTTCAGATTTTTTACATTCAAACAGTTAACATCTAACACATTTATGAAGATTTATAAAAAAAATATTTGTTTAACTTTTCATATGTTTGAGAATTGATTCTTTGTACAAGTATTTTGAATTTTGGTATTATTTTAATATCGAGGAAAAATGCAGTCTTTTCAGTCTCTCAAATAGATAATCATTTTTATTTAATTTTTTAGCAATGCCGCAACCCCCACCATACACCGACGAGGCATACGCTAAACAGGCTCCATACAATCCTGCTTATCTATCATCACATCTACAGTGATCTTTCAAGTTATAGTTATGATAACTAATGATTAATGATGGAGGATTTGTGATTCCTTTCTACCGTTCGAGCGATTCTCGTCGTCAGTCTCGAATTTGCGAACACCAGTACAGAAAAAAAACATTCATTGGTATTATCGCATCACAATTGCGATTTGTGTTTGTGCATACGTGCATGGACAATTTATTCGACCATAAATATTTGCACAAACTTTTTACTGTTTACAAAAAATGCATTTTTCTTCCTCGATATCTTACTAGAAAAATGCTAAATACTTTTATTATACTTTTACATATATTTGTTAGACATATACGTAATTCTCAGACTATGATTTATATAAATCTGTTTTTTTTTTTGAAGAAAAACGGAATAGGACAAATGAACAGAACAAACTTTTTGAAATACTCTTAATAAAATATGAATTTATAACAAAGAGAAGAGAAAATGTATATATAGCGTTTCCCAAAATGTGGGAATCCCGTAATAATTTTTGTAAAAACGAAAATATCGAAAAATGGTGAAATACATATTTCGAAAAAGCTACTTTTTGATATATGTATTGATCAACCGCTATCCACAGGTGTGCAAAGGCGGAAGGGATGATGGCACTAGATATCAAGTGGAGGCTTATCCGAAAGGCCTTTGATGGTAATTAAAATGCTGACAATTTTAAGTCGCTACAAACTCCATTCAAAAGTGGAAATTTCGTGCACCTTGACATTTTCATCACCCTTCCCATCCTCGTGCACCTTAAAACATTGATTAAATAGCACCGATGTCAAAAGGTAGCTTTTTGAAGTGAAACATGTGTTTCACCGTTTTTTTAAACCTTTATTTTTACAAAAATTATTGTGGGATTTCCACAATTTTGAAAAACTATACAGTATTAACTATTAAACTTTGTATAGTGTTAAAATATTCTAAGAAAATTGTATCTAATTGTAAATAATATTAATCTAGACGAATTTCTTTAAATTTTCTGTATTATTACTGCAGCGGTATATTGAATTATGAAATCTTAAATCATGTGATTCTTACGTTTTTTAAAGAGCAATAAGAAAGTTCTTTTATATGAATTGTTGTTTCATCACAAGCATCCTTGTTATTCGATGAAAGTGCAGGATCCAGAATAAAATTTTGTGATTTATTTGATCCAGTGAAAATCGCGTTATTATTCTCAATATTTTTGATATACAATAATAATCGTTATTAATTAATTAGGTACAGGAACACTTGTAACGTTCGTGATATAATTAATAATTCAATTACGTACAATTACAAATTGTCATCGATCGCACATGTTGCCTTCAATATGAACGTCTTCGTGTTAAGAATTTGCGGAAGTGCGAGTTTTCGTAAATAAACGCAGTATACTTATCGTTTCTGTATTTTTTTAAATCAATTTTTTCCCGGGAATCACGTGTAGGAAGCGGGCTTCGACAAATTATAAAGTCGAACTATCGATCGAGGGCCATCCGGCATTTTTCGTAGAATATAATAATTTACATTGTACAATGTAACAATTGTGTTATAATTTAATCCCTTCAGTCTCAAGTTTTATTCTTTTTTTTTCTTCAATAAAAGATCTAATTTTTTATACAATATCTTTTTTTTTATTATATTCGATCTATTTCGATAGTCTTAAAAAAAAAAAAAAGAAATAAAACTTGATATTCCCAGCGAGAGACAAATCGGCGTGAATATAATTTTGACGAGATTTAATATCGGACACAATGTTTTTTCCTATCAGGATTGGGCCCCTGTACTATAATTTATAAATATTTCTTAACCTTCTTTCTTAGACTTATTTCGATCTTACTGCACTAAAAAGGCACATATTTCCGCACCTGATACAAACGTTATTACAATCTAAGCGCTAATGATCTTTTCTCCACCGGTTTTCCCGTCCCGACGCCAACTACGTGTCGACACATACTATAAATATCGCTCCGTTATTAGGCTACGCTCGGTGAATTTATTTCACAATATTGAATGGATGACGATGATGCAACGGTGACGGTAGTGGCACAACGGAGGAAAAAAAAAACATGATTTCACAATTTTTTTTTTTTTCGCATTTTCGCGTACCGCGCATATATGTAAAATATATTACATATATTATGTACGAGACGACGTCTTGTCTTGTATTTACATGAAATATACGTAATATATTTCCTTAGATGCTAGTTTGTATAATAATTATCGTCTTCTATGTAAGTCTAATGCCTACGCAGACCTTATTAAGGCGATCAACTACGCGAACCTTTGTACAGTCGTTTGGAGAACTATGGGAAGTTTTCGAGAGGAAGAAATTGTTTAATCGGTCATAACGTTTTCGATATTTCGACGTTGTCGTTTTCGCCCGAACTATACTCCATGAATGTGGTATTGCGCCAGGTAAAATTATAACAATAATTCCATCTGGCAAAACCCGTACCGACAAAACGCGTAGCATTGTCATCAAAAATCATTACATGCTAATTATGTACAATAAAGCGCTGTCGCGCGAACTGTCCGTCGTGTAAATTCATTGACAAAGTCAATCTCAATTCTAAAGAATTCGCCTTTTCTTTCTCCGCCCTGAATAATTATAAAAGTATAAATATGATAAAAGGCCTGAAATGAAAAAAATGAGACGAGTATGAATCTGATCTTACTCTGATCTTCCGCTCAAATAGTTTTCACGTTAGGTACCTTTTCATGCTGACGCCCATTTTCAGCGTCAAAATAGGCTGCGATCAAAATTGACGCTGGACAGTAAAAAATGCATTGAAATAATGCAGTGTCATGTATATAGCGATTAATTTTGAACCGAGCGATCTGACGCTGGAAGTTGAACAAATGCAATTTCCGGTGTCAGACGCCAAGGGTCAAATATTGAGACAACGTGATCACGCTAATGCTTTCCAGAGTGTCTCATGAAATAGTATCTACAGTGTCTACTTTATTAGACTAAAATGCGATATCGATACA